AATTTCAAAAAATGGCCAAACAACTCGAAAGTTCGAAGAATGGCCAACAAAAAAATAGGAAGATATCTTCTCATTTTTTTAGTACCAAATTACCCCTCCGTAACTACGTATTATTTTATTTTTCTTTCTTTCTTTTTCTAGGAGAATCTCAACCATATTTTTCTCCCAAATTTAAAATCTAAAATAAAACTTAACCAATAAAATACCTATTAAAATCTAGCAAAATTTTGAAAGAATAGATAATACAAAATATAATTATAAATAGAAATATTGATGACGATGTATTTTTGTGTTGACACAAAATAAACAAATACAATGTGTTTTGCAATTATAAATTAGAGGGAAGAAATTCAAAGCATATACCTCTTCAGTGTAACACCACAACAGAAACTTCTCTGGCATTATTATTCTCTATATTTGTGTTTGAAATTTATTTTGAAAAAAATAGAAAGCAAATCTGTATTTTAAAAAGATGAAATTTGTTTTGAGAGAAAAATAAGAAGATAGACGGCCAACTTTTTAAACCAAATTAATAATAAATTAAAAGAAAGTAGGTAAATTAAACTAGATTAATAATATATTAAAAGCAAATCTCTCTAGTCTATGAGTTATGTTTATATGTGTACATATATTTCCAAATATTTAAAAGTGAGATGGTTATTAGGAAATTGTAGCAACCAAATAGGGGAGATAATGTAGCAAAAAAATGAATTTAGGAGAAAGAGTAATAGTTTATTTTAAATATAATAATGAAATAGCAAGGGTAAAATGGCCAAAATTAAACCTGTGAAATAGTTGAAAAAATACAAATAGACATTTTAAATAACAGAAAGCTATTTGGTCATTTTTTAAAACGAGGTGACAAATATGGACACCTACTTTTTATTGTCCATCAGCTAAGCTAATGTAGACTTGAGGGATTTCATATTATTGATCTAAATCTTTTTTCCATTGTTTTTAATGTAACTTTATAAACATCTTTTGTTGAATGAATTGAGTATATTTGAGTGTCTAACTAATGGAATATTTAAAGAAAATTAAAACTTTATAGTTCTTTAAGTCAGCACATGTTATAGATAAATTAGTAAATTCATTGAATACCACAATATATACAAATCAACTACAGCGATTCGATTGAGATGTTAGAGGACGAGACTGGCTACAGGATCATGCTAATATGCTTGGAAAGAGAGTCGAAACTCGTCTCTAACATTGGGATGACGAGGGACACGACTTGATGTGGAGTTACATTGACAAGGAGCAAAAGGTAGGTCATCATCATCTCATGTCGAAAGTTTTGTATAGTGTGCACAATTGAGTTGCACATGTGACTACTGTATCTGATAGTGCGATGGAGGAATCATTACAATCTTCCTAGATGAAAAGCTCACTCACCCCCTCGAAGTACGTAATTCTAACTCTTGCTTAGCTCAACGTGATATATCTAACTTCATCAAAGTGTCTTGGCCAAGCTCCACATCAATGGACAATTTTCATGTATCATGCATCATATTTCCCTCCTTCTTCTTCCTTTTTTGAATGTAATCTGACAAATTACAACTCAACTCAAGAATTGCTTTAAACTAAAATCATCCATCTATAACATATATTATATATGTTGTTTCGGTTGAATTATGGAGGGTCGGAGATCCATGCAAGCTAACCAATCAAGTTGAATGAAGCGAGCTATGTAAGAAGACTTGCACGTAAAGAAGAAACACTTTGATGCTCAAGTCAATCAAATGTCTGAATTCTATGTCGGTCCATAAATAATTGTTTATCTTTGAGCGAGAATGATTGGGGATTAGCAGAAAGTCTTTTTGTTCCGATAACCGTTATTTTGTTACTAAAGTTGTTAAACAGTTTCTCAAGGCTGTCAGATTCTTAGCTCGGATTGAACTAATTAATGCGCTTTCACTTTGTCTGGGATCCTAAATGGTGTCTACCGATATGCACATATCAACTATATTTGTCTGTTTTTAAACTTCTGATTTCATTAAATATACTCGAACTTGAATACAATTTCAAGTCGATACATTCTTAAAACTAAATTTACAAGTTACCTTTTATAGAATAACAAGTTCGACAATCCTTCTTATTAATTGAAATTAAAGAATTAGTCTATTTGTTTCGTCCAAAATGAGAATGAGCTACGGTTACGAGGCTATTAATACTAATTAGTTTTATATAATTTATATATAGATTTAATGAATTATACCGCTATTATAAGATAATAGTAACTTTTCCTAAAAATTAAAGTTTAAAATTCATGCTTGTTGAAGAAAGAGGGAAGAAGAATATTTGTGCATTAGTGACCAAATTACAAGGGACCACACATTAACTTTTTATATAACACTTTAAATTTGTATATATGAATACAAGATAATTATCTGTTGCAAAGGGAATATAAGATAATTAAGATAGTAAATAAAAAATTAACTGAAATGGAAATGCCAAAAACGTATTTTTTAATTACTATTTATAGTATCATACAAGATTATAAATCTAACCATTTACCTCATCACTCTATAATCTTGTCATTTTTTTTTTGTACAACTATAATCTTGTTATTACTAATAATATGTAAACTAAAACTTTACGCATTAAGAAACTAAAAGTAGTTAAAAAAACAAATCACCATTTAACATAATATAATCAAAATAAAGGTTTCTTAAAATAATAAAATAAAAAAAAAGTATATACGGCATACATCAACCTAAAAAAATCAATTAAATTTGATCAAATGGAAATTTTGTTTGGATCTGTCCGTCTATTTATTTATTTTTTTAGTGTAGGTAGGAGGAGAGACAAATGTCACTCATAACCTTATGGTTAGAGAGAACCGCTACCATCGATTAGTTGTTTGTTAGGTGAAATAAAAAAGAGGTATAACATAATCTTCTTGCTAAATTTACAAATGTGTTTTTCTTAACGACATTTATAACCCATTTTTATGCCACTTTTTTGTTAGTTAGTTCAACAAAAGCAAAAATCTTGTACATATTCCATCATATGCAGCAAATAGCAAGAAATTCCAATGCTTTTACAACATTATAAACTTCCCTCTGCATTTAGACTTGCACAAAAAACAAAAATAAGTTATCCAAACCATACATTTTCAAAATAATTGTCTAACTTGTTATTTTTGTAAATGGCTTTTCAAACTCTTACCTAAAAAAAATTAGGTGTCATCAAATAAATGGAATGGAGGAAGCTCCATTGATAAACATCTTGTGGGCCCCATTCCATTTGACATCAAAATGGAAACTTTATACCAAAATACATGATTGTTTGGTTAAATTCAATCTATGTCATTTTTGTATGAATAACATTGCTAATTCTAACCAGTTTTTTCAAAATGGCAATGATTTAAACCTAATTCATAGAACCTTCGTACATGATTTCGCTCACTTAAGAATGTTAAAAAAAAATCGATGACTCGAAAAATTCGATCAACCCTACAAAAACATGAGTTATACATTTGTTTGAATTGAGTTTGTTTCAATTAAATAAAAATTCGATCAACTGTTGTTTGAAAGGTTCACCTAAAATAAAATAGGGTCGAATTGAAATTAAGTAGAACTTTTTATTAATTTTAAAATAATTTCTTTTACTTACCATATATTTATATTTATTTGATAATTCTTTTGGATTATTTATTCTCCAATCACTTTGAAATATAAAATTTTAAGTTTCTGAGAGTATTTTATTCATACTATAAATAACTATTGCATTTGACTTAAAGAATATTTATTTGACGTTATAAAATATGTAAATAAATGTTTGAGATATTAATATTTATATTTTTTACTGCACAATATTTTGAATGAGTGACTCGAATGATCTGAACTAGTCAAATCTAAATATTTAATAGTTAAGTTTATTATTTAATTAGAGTTATTTGAGTTGAATACATTTATACCCGAACAAATGGGTTGAGTCCGAAAATTACTTCAATCCAATTGTCAACCCGTGAACACCACTAATCTTGCTTATTCATTTAGGAGAATTATATATATATATATATATATATATATATATATATATATATATATATAGACACACACACACACACACAAAACTGATGCAAGATCACGTCATCATCTCTAAAAACCATACTATTTAGTATATCACTATCAAATTTCTTTAAATAGTCATTAATTTGTTATTATGGGACCGATTGAAAAAATTTACTACGGTTCAAGTTAACATTAATCCCTCTTTGTCACGATACCTCTACGACAACAAATATTTCATTCTTCTTTCACAATAGTATAATACTACCCAATGACATTAGACTACCAAAATACATTATAGTAATTTAAGTTGAGTCGTAGTGGAGTGGATCAAGTGATGGGAAAACAAAATAGTAGCAAGAATTAAAGTAATCTAATATGCTAAAAATAGACCGAGAATAATGAATATAGAAGTTTTAAAATAATATTTTCCCCCTAATTGAATCATGCAATATAAATAAGGTAACAAACATTTAAATTTAAACCAATAAATGGTTACAAGGTACAAAGACGAGCAGAAACAGTAAAAGTGAAAATAAAAATGGAAAAATAAAAAAAAAAAGACAGAAACAGAAAACGAAGTAAGAAGTGTATTTTTAAGGATTTTTACCTGTACTGTTCTATATATACACGGTACGGGTCGAATCCAATGGAACTGACGTGGCATCCGGTTTATCTTTTTCAAATTTTTTTTTATTAAATCGTTTTTATTTTATTCAATTATTAAAAATTTTAACTCTTCTCTCTCTCTCTCTCTCTGTTTCTCTTCCCCAAAGTTCTCATCTTGCAAATTCATTTTCCAATGTGATTTTTGTATGAGTCAGTTATCATCGCTTCGCTTGGTCAATCACCCAAATTAATTTTTTTTTCTAAAGGTATTTTCTTTTGAGATATTTCAACTTAAATATACAGACAAATATATATATATATATATATTAAAGTTTTTGTTTTTGTTTTTGTTTTTGTATTTTTTCTTTTTTACCTTCACTGTATTTAATCTCACCTTCAAATGGAATAAAACCCTAAAAGGGTTCTCGTTTGGAGCAATCGCCGCCGGATTGATCTCAGCTGTCCCCGCTCTTGTTCACTATATCTCAAATCCTTCTTCTTGATCTCATTTCAGCTGCGGGAAACCAATATTTTCCCCTCTTTCAGTTTTGAATTTATTTTTTTCTTTTTTTCATCGTCACTCTCTTCTCGCCATTTGTAATTTGATATGTTTGCTGCTGCTGTTGTTATTACATGAAGCATGTGTCGGAGAATTTTCCGTAACTTGGTAGAATTTAGGTTGTAGTGAAGAACTTAATGCTTTTACAACACCCTTTTGTTTTTGGTCTGGGATTGATGGTTTGGTTGTAGAGCTACGGGTTAGGGAATTGGCGGAACGGAAGGAAATTTTGGTTTTGATCAGTTTAGAATGACTTTTTTCTAGTTGTAAATAGTGTGTTTATCGTCGTTTTAGGATTATATATAATTTTTGAGGCGTAGCTTTTTGTTGTTGCGCGGAGGCAGTGATCAGATAGAGCCAGGAGGGTAGACCGATGTTTGGTGGTAACGACGGATCGTTTGGTGATGAATTAGAGACGGAGATAGGGTTATTGCTTCGTGAACAGCATCGGCAAGAGGCCGATGATCGTGAGCGGGAGCTGAATTTGTATAGAAGTGGATCAGCTCCACCGACTGTTGAAGGCTCTTTGAGTGCGGTGGGTGGTCTGTTTGGCGGTATTGCTGGCTCTGCTAATGCCTTTGCCGAGTTATCTGGTGCTAAGAATGGAAATGGCTTCGTGTCCGAGGAGCAGCTTAGGTCTGATCCAGCTTACTTATCATACTATTACTCAAATGTGAACCTTAATCCTCGGCTTCCACCTCCATTGATTTCAAAAGAGGATTGGAAGTCTGCACAGAGATTGAAAGGGGCAAATTTGGGTTTAGGAGGGATTGGAGATACAAGGCGATTGAATGTTGTGGCGGATAGCGGCGGCCGATCCTTGTTTTCTATGCCCCCTGGGTTTAATGCTAGGAAACAAGCATCTGAGGTCGAGTTGGACAAGGGGCGTGGCTCCACTGAGTGGGGTGGTGACGGGCTGATTGGTTTGCCTAGTTTAGGACTTGGAACCAAACAAAAAAGTCTAGCTGAAATATTTCAGGTAAATTGCTTCCTCACTTGCCATATTCTATTATTTGAACTGCTAATCTACTATTGTGCTAATCTTGAGCATTGAAGTCCTTTACCTGGTTTATAAAATATTTCCGGAAACTTGAAATCTCAAGTTTATAATTTATAGTTCTGATTCCACGCGATCTCAATACATTTGAACTCTAACTTCTACCTAATGGCCCGATAATTGCTGGGTATCAGTATTAGATATTGATTTGTATGTTTTTTTTGTTAACTTGACTTTTAAATGTCAGATTTTTATTGGTTTGATCAGTTTAATCTAATTGTCAAAGTTTTTTTACTGTCAGCATAGCTGCTCATGGTTATTTAGGCCAATTGAATTAGTTCTCGAATTGGTGATATATAAAATTTTATCCATGTTGGGTTTCTAATAAGTAATAAGTTATTCCAAAATTGCATACCTCCCTTGTTACCATCCCATCTAACTGGTGTATCTTGAGCATGAGCATTATTTGTGTTTTTGTTGCTTGTTACTATGGAGTGAGGTTTGGTTTTTATCATGGATTAATCTTGTTCCAAGTGATTTAGCATCTAATGTCTATGCAGGATGACTTGGGGCGCACAACTCCTGTTACAGGGCTGCCATCTCGTCCAGCCAGCCGCAATGCCTTTGACGAAAATGTTGAGCCTGTAGGTGGAACTGAATCTGAGCTAGCCAATTTGCGTCATGACTTGATGATGTCTGAAGTTATGCGATCTGGTTCAAATGGACAGAGTTCATCTGCTGGTCAAAGCATAGGAGCACCTTCTTCGTACACTTATGCTGCAGCCGTGGGCGCTTCATTGTCAAGAAGCAATACACCTGATCCTCAACTTGTTGCAAGGGCTCCTAGTCCTTGTCTTACCCCCATTGGAGGTGGTAGAGTTGCAACTGCTGAAAAGAGGAACATTTCAAGCCCAAATTCATTTAATGGTGTCTCATCTGGAATCAATGAGTCTTCAGATCTGGTATCGGCCTTATCTGGTATGAACTTGTCACCGGATGATGGCATAAATGAAGAAGGTCATGTGCTATCTCAAATCAAACAAGATAGTAATAACCAACAGGGCTACGCTTATGGCCTGCAAGGAGGTCAGAATCATATAAAGCAACAGTCATTTGCAAAGAAGACCGAGTCCGGGGGTCAACCCAGATCTTCATTCTCAGACTTGAATGACAACAATGGAGGTGGAACCAACTCCTCCAGAGATAGGCACGTTGAACTGCAACAGTCTTCTGTTCCTCCTACAAACGCGTTCTTGAAAGGTGGTTCACATACTTCATCTCATAACAATGGAGCTCAGTATCAGCATGTGGATGGCACAAATTTGACATATCAGAACTTTGGCTTGGGTGGGTACTCAATTAGTCCACCTTTGGCATCCATGATGCCTGGCCAACTCGGCACTGGTAATTTACCAACATTGTTTGAAAATGTTGCCTCAGCTTCAGCTTTGGGGGCCTCTGGTCTGGAATCACGAGTTCTTGGGGGAGGTTTATCTTCTGCAACAAACCTGGCTTCTTCTGCTTCTGATTCACATATTCTTGGTAAATTGGGAGGTCAAATAACTGGTAATGCTCTTCAGGCGTCCTTTGTCGATCCCATTTATCTTCAATACTTGAGGACGTCTGAATATGCTGCAGCACAACTTGGTGCTTTAAATGATCCTTCTCTTGATAGAAATTATCTGGGCAATTCGTATATGAATCAGCTAGAGCTGCAGAAAGCTTACGTGGGAGCCCTTCTATCACCTCAGAAATCACAATATGCTATCCCATATAGTGGTAAATCTGGTGTTTCAAATAATCATGGTTATTTTGGAAATCCAGCTTTTGGAGTTCACTTGTCTTATCCTGGCAGTCCTATGGCAAGTCCTGTCCTTTCTAACTCTCCTGTAGGACCTGGTAGTCCTATCAGGCACAATGACCTTCATTTGCGCTATCCTTCTGGTACAAGGAACTTAGGTGGCGTTATGGGTCCTTGGCACCTAGACGTTGGATGTAATGAAAGCTTTTCATCCTCTCTTCTAGAGGAGTTCAAGAGCAATAAGACAAAATGTTTTGAACTTTCTGAAATTGCCGGTCATGTGTTTGAATTCAGGTATACATATAAATTGCTTTTTAAACTGATTATATGTGGTTTATCATCCAATCCTATCTTAAAGTAGTTTCTTCTCTTTCTTTCTTAACTTTTCTCATGAGCAGTGGTGATCAATATGGGAGCCGGTTCATTCAACAAAAACTTGAAACAGCTACTGCGGAGGAGAAAAATATGATTTATCAGGAAATTATGCCTCAAGCTCTTGCCCTAATGACTGATGTCTTTGGTAATTATGTAATTCAAAAGGTAATTTTTCTTTAATGAAATCTGAGTAATATTTATTGTTATTTTCTGGTTTAGTTAGTGCCCTTTTTTGGTTTTATATGCTAATCACTAGAGTACATATGCAGTTTTTTGAGCATGGACTTCCATCACAGAGAAGAGAATTGGCCAATAAGCTATTTGGGCACGTACTTACTCTGAGCCTTCAGATGTATGGTTGTCGCGTGATCCAGAAGGTACTGCTTGTTTTAAGCTGGACTCCATATTATCTTCTCTCAACTATTGAACCGGATATTCCTCCTAAAATAATTTCAGTCTACTCAAGTGCAACATCAATTGGATGTCTTGTTGTACTTGAAGAGTTGATTTAGCTATATTCTAATATGGTTACAGTTAAATCAGCCAGTGAAAGTTAAGAGTTCTTAGAAATATATGTAAATGTTAACAGTTGCAGTGAGAAACACAATTCGAGTCCTGTGGAGAGGCTTTTAGTGACCTCCTTAGTCTTAAGTTGGGTTTGGACTCTAATCCTCTTCCTCCTTTTGTACACTTTTGGCTAAATCGCTAAATTTTCCTCTGAAAAGAAAAAAATGAAAAGAGTCTTGTTGAAGTTCGACTAGGGCTCCACTATCTGACCATTCATTATCTCGCCATTCGTAGCCACTCAGATGTTTTTGATACTCATGCCAATCATGTGATGAGATTGCATGATTTACTCATGGTTTTTGCATTACTTCATGTCAACTCAACTGATCAGGCAATTGAAGTAGTAGATCTGGACCAAAAGATTAAAATGGTTGAAGAGCTTGACGGACATGTCATGCGCTGTGTACGCGATCAGAATGGAAATCATGTTATACAGAAGTGTATAGAATGTGTTCCAGAAGAAGCAATACATTTTATAGTTTCCACATTTTTTGATCAAGTTGTGACTCTTTCAACTCACCCATATGGGTGTCGCGTGATACAGGTGCTTTTTAGAAAATTTCTTCCTAAACTGTGTCAAGTAAATTTGGCTCGTATGATCTATGTTAACTCGTTTCCTTTTGACAGAGAGTTCTTGAGCACTGCAAGGATGAAAATACCCAGAGTAAAGTCATGGAGGAGATTCTAGGATCTGTTAGCATGTTGGCACAAGATCAGTACGGAAATTATGTTGTTCAGGTTCATGCTTCTGGATGAGCTCTGCATACCTTTAGTTAGATGGATAATGTGCAATTTACTCTTTGATTTCATCTTTCGGGGTGAAAGAAGCAAAGATAGTCCGATTGTTCAGTTCTCGTATGATCTAATCGTGCGATATCTGGAGATATTTGTTATTTCTCTTCTCTTATTAATTAATTTATTTGATTCTCCTTCTCAACAGCACGTATTGGAGCATGGAAAACCTCATGAGCGTTCTGCAATTATCAAGGAATTGGCTGGTAAAATAGTTCAAATGAGTCAACAGAAGTTTGCCTCTAACGTTGTTGAGAAATGCTTAACCTTTGGTGGCCCTACGGAGCGCCAACTACTGGTCAGTGAAATGCTTGGCACGACGGATGAAAATGAGCCCCTTCAGGTTTGTGATAAACACTCTCTCGCTCAGTTGTGAACGGTCATGTCCAATTGATACATCAAAGTGAATGTGAATTCTCAGCAATCATGCATCTCCACCTGACGTGATACTTTTGACTACCATTGCTATTCCTACCTTTTTTTTTATCTGTTGAATTTTATTCAGGCAATGATGAAAGATCAATTCGCAAACTATGTTGTCCAAAAAGTGCTCGAGACTTGTGATGACCAACAACGCGAGTTGATTCTCTCCCGAATCAAAGTTCATCTCAATGCATTGAAGAAATATACTTATGGGAAGCACATTGTTGCCCGCGTAGAGAAACTTGTCGCGGCTGGGGGTATGCATTCTTTCTCGTCTCTAACTAATACCATTTTTATTTCACATAATAAACACACCACAAGTAACTCTCCTCCTTGTTGCAGAAAGGAGAATTGCAGCTCAGTCTTCTCCACACCCTTCTTTGGTGACATAGGAAAGAAATTATGTACAGCTAACTGAAGCGGCCGCCAGCCAGAGCGAGCGGACTTCTTCACCTCTTTCCCACTCTTTTCCGTTTATCTAGAAGAGCAGTAGCTCAACCTCAACCTCAACCTCTCTGTGAAGACAGGTATGAGCTGATTGAAAATAAAACCAAGTTGTTTGTTTGTACTTTGGAAGAAGGAAGCCTGTACATTTGTAGTTTAAGCTGCTTTATACGTAGAAATCGATCAATTTCGCGGCACCCCGATGTCGAATGGCTGCGAGATGAGATAAAAAAATGGCTGCCTGCTTATACGTAGTCTTTTTTTTCCTTAAGGGCATGTAAATGACTTTCAAAAATGTTGAGGTAGTTCTTTTTTTATTTTCTTATATGTTTAGCGTGACTGTACAAAATGTTGCCATGTTAAGAAGAGCTGTTTATGTTAGATTATTGAGGCCATAGTTTTCTCCTCATGTATGCTTCTACTTCCATCACTCTTCCTCTTCAACTATATAATTTTCTTATCTATTTCTTCTTCTCTCTACTTATTTTCATTTCCTTCAACTGATCAACTCGTTTGAACTTTGAATATATCTGATATGACATTAGTATAAGTCATACTTTGTTTAGTTCGACAACGTGGAATGGAGATTTGAGCCTTTGACTTCTATGACTTAATCAATTGAATCTTAGATGAGTTCTTTTATCTTGTTACATCTAGTCTATGAGGTCATTAATTGGGTTTTGTTTTGTTTTTGTTTTTCTACTAAAAAATGATTTAAGTGGCCTATATTTAGCCTATAATTAGTAGAGGTCTGTTTTTCTTGTGTAAAATGAGCTTTTGAAATAAACATTTTTCTTAGTTGAAGGGGTGGAAAATGAATTTGTAAGCTTTTATTTATTAATATTTTTCTGTTTTGTTATCAAATTTTAACCAAAACGTTTTTTTTTTCTCTTTTAAATGCTAGACACTATTTAATAAAGCTATGAGAAGGAAAAAAGAAATAAACAAAGAAAATACAGTTATAATCTATTTTCACGAGTTTTTTTTACCTATAAGATCTAGAAGTTTAACTGCCATATAAAGGTCCATTTTACATTCGTCGAAAACGGAATTTAGAAGATTCCATGTTAATTTCAATTGAATTTAATTTAAAATTAGGATAGACAATCTTATAAATGATGTTTGAGGTTTCTTGTATATCTATATTTTTTTGACAAAATTCCTAGTTATTTAACTTGTAGTCTTGTACCTAATTATTATAATATCCTCGAGATGATCCTTATCGTTTCAATTTAAAACCAACTCCGTGTTTTTTTCCCTAAAATAAAATATAATCGTATTTTGATGGACTAAATAAATGTGTTCTCGACAATGTTTGTTAGAGAAATTAAAAGATTAATTTAATATATTATTGTATTATTAACAAGAGGCATTTACAGTTGAATTATATTCATGACTTAATTATTTTAAAACCTATTTTGAAATAAATTCTGGTTTAAATTTAAGATGAACAAACTCACGTCGAATTATAGAGATGGAATCGGTGTCTCGGACCAAACCACACAAACATTTAAAATTGAATTAAATTCAGTAATTCTGGATCATCCCGATGTGCAGTGAATAATAAAGCATTTGAAGAAAAAGGGATCTGAAATTCATGAGAGAAATTTTACGGTGACCTAACTCAGCAATTTGAAGCAGATTCATCCGAATTTATGGAAAATTAATGAGACTCTGAGAATTTGCCCTCTCAATTCATACCAGTCGATAACATTAGCCCTGTTCTTCTTCTTCAATCTTCTGGCCGAATCCCCTCGGTCCAGCTCTAGCTCTCACCTTCTTCTTTTTCCCACTCTTTTTGTTCTTAGCCGTCTCCACTTTCTCAAACTTTTCCTTCTCTCTCTTCTGCAAGAAGTCCGTAACTGCAATGTAGATTACCTGCAAACCGAAACGCGAATCCGACGTCAAAACCCTAATCAAACAGACAAAATCAACAGCAATTTTGTGTTGATGAAATCATCGACTGTAGAAATTCGACTTCGAGATTCGAATTCAAGCGCTGAATTTACCCCGATTGTGAGAATAGATAGACCGATGAAAGCGACAAAAAGAAGAGCGGAAATGATGGTGGATACGCCGTCGTCGCCGCTGGATGTTATCTCCTGCGATTTCTCCACCAGCGCGGCGGATTCGGAGGCCAGAGTTTGTTCAGAAGTGGCATGGAGCCTCCGAATTGAGTTTCCTCTTGCAGAATTTTGGCGAAGTGGATTCAGAACGAGAAGTGCTGGTCGGCGAGAGAGAATGTTTGGTGTAGATGAGCTACGAAGACGAAGAAACTGGTGAGGCTTTGGATTGAAAGTAGAGAGGAAAATTGGTAGAGATAGAGAAGTGGATATGGTGGTGGCCATGGCTCATCTGCTTCACTTTCTCTCTCTCACTGCCAAACGCATCCTCGCTGTGCAGCTCCACGAGATCGTTTCGTCGCTGTAAAGGGTCTAATCCGGTATTTTCACTTTTTTTCTCTCGCTAATTTAAAGTAAATTTTTAGGCAATTTTTTTAGTACAACATTTTTTTGGCATAAATTGTGATTGTATTTAGAAAAATGTGACCACTTTTCCTAGTGTGCTTTATATTATATTTGAGTTAAAGTTTGATTTAAAGATTATGTTGTTATTATTATTAACTTTTTTTTTGTTTGTAAAATTTCAAGATTTTTGCTATATTTAAAAATACACATCTATTTTATGCTATGCCATATTTTTCAATTTTAAATGCAAAATAAAATAACACTTGCTTGCAATCAAAAAGAAAATTAACATGAATATAAAAAAGCTTGTATTGATCTTTAACAAAATTATTTCACCTATAAGCTTTGCATAAAAATCTTTTCAATTCTTTTCGTTAATAATCTTAGAGTAACATTTACTCTAATCCTCACGAACTAAAAATGTATTTTGCCTATTTATTTACAAATAAATATCATTTGAGTGGGTTAATATTTGCAACTCGTGGAATTAGGATAGGTCTAAAATGTCCCTCAGCCCAAACCCAACCACACGTACAAAAAGCCGCAGATGGGCTAATACGAATCGCGGCCCAATGCCACTTCACACGAAATCAGGCCCAATAACTTCCTTTAAATTACCAAATTAGCCATCAAAATACACCGTGGGCTGAATACGTGGATACGCATCATCAGACCAGTGCTCTTCAACCAATGCGAGCAGTACAAAGGTCCAGCTCCAGGTGTCAGTCCATCACGCGGCCAACTGCAATTTTTTCTCAGCCCGCCGAATCATCGAGGGCTGGTAATGCACTAAGTCCACGTGTCAAAATTTCGAAGCGAGTATTGACCACGAGTGAACTCTCGCGAGTATAACTCAATTATGAAAAGAAAAGCGATATTAAACCGTTTCAAAAATATCTCGCGGAATCGCCTTTTTCCGAGTCCCGAGTCCCGACCTTCTCCTTCTCCGAGAGACAGTGCTCCTATTTTGGCTAACATTTTCTCTGATTTTCCCGCCTCCCAAACGAAATGAAACATCTCCCTGCCAATCGCATCCTCGTTTATCTCTGGTTTCAAGATTCGAATACGCTTCTCGAGTAGTATTCGATTTGGTGTTGATCCCGTTTGCGGTGGAATAGAAGGGCGAAAGAATCTGCAACTTTGTTATGGAGCAAAAGGCGCGGGAGTACTGTTCTGGTGGGCTTAATAGCTGTGCTAATGGCGATGAAAGAGTTCTTCTGTGGGAGGATGGACTGCCCGACGCCGATAATGTAACCCCTCTTTCTCAATCTTTGATATCGCAGGAACTCGCTTCGGCGTTCCGGATCTTGGCGGAACCTCGTCGGACTGTATCGGATGTTAATTCGGCGTCGAATACGACGCTACTGAATATACGCGATGGAGAATCGGAAGGATACAGAAGTTTCGAGACGCGGGGTGAAGACGCGATGATGGTTGAGACGGACGAGACGATTAATCCAGTCGAGTCGGGGTCCGATTCACGGAAATTGAGGAAGGTTGATTTGGTTGAAGAGGTGAATTTAGCGCCTCAGGTCAAGAATTTGACCGAGGATGCGGCTGAGGCTCGAACCTTGAAGCGGCCGCGGCTCGCCTGGACTCCGCAATTGCACAAGCGGTTCGTGGATGTGGTTTCTCATTTAGGGCTCAAAGACGCAGCTCCCAAAGCCATTATGCAATTGATGAACGTGGAAGGATTGACTCGCGAGAACGTTGCCAGCCACCTACAGAAGTATCGACTCTTCTTGAAGAGGACGCAGCTATCCTCAACCACCGACGAGGCTCTCGTTCCGGTGCCGATGGCGCAGAACTCACAGGATTCTGCTCCCAGTCCCGATGCACCAGGAAACGGGTGTTTTCCGGCTACTTTTCCGATGACGTATATGCCATCTCCGATGATGCCTATGATGTATTTTGGTATGGGAGCTCATGGTCACGGTCTTAGTCATACCAGCATGCCAATGGTTAACCTGAGCAACGCGCCGGCCCACTCGTTTAGCACGAAAGGGCAGCAAGATTGATACTAATGGCAACCGACAAGTAGGGTTTGATATTGCACCTTACTTTCATTATGTTCCCAATCCAAAATCCGAACGATAAAATGAAGTTTGACTAGATTTCATCTTGATCTTGAATGGAGCATGTTCTTACTCACACTCTCTCCCTCTAGCTCTCTGTGTTTGACCACAATACAAAGTGAAGTGAGTAATTTCAATCTTGAATGAAAATTTTGAGTCTCTTAGATTTTGTTTACTGGGTTATCTCTCCTGAACTACAACCTACACCAGCTTATTTTTGCCAAAAATTATGTTGAGAGAGACCATTTTTGAAGCATTTTGACATCCATTAATTTGGGAGCTGGAGTTTCCACCCTTTGTCGTTTTTTCCTCTTGGTTAGACCATTTCTTCAAGTTCAATGCGTGGAGTTTGTACAAAATTCTCTTTTGTTTCGAAGAAAGATTTTCCTAAACTGTCTCTATCCAACTGCACCCAGGAAATTTCTTCAGCTTCCTCTTCTTCATCATCCTCTTCAGCTTCACAACATGTCCCCAACTGCCTGCATTAGCATACAGATCGGACAATAGCAAGCTGTTCCCAACACTCCCTGGTTCCAACTCTGATAAATGTTTGACTGCTTCTTCGGCAAGTTCTATTTCTCCATGCTTCCTACATGCTCCTAATAAAGCTCCCCACACATATAAATCTGGCTCGACCGGCATCGTCTTGATCAAATCATAAGCCTCACCCAGCTTCCCCGCTCGACCGAACACATCGACCATGCAGGCATAATGCTCTACTCTAGGAACAATACCATATTTATTTTGCATCAATTGGAACAGACCCTTTCCCAGATCAACCATCCCAGAATGGCCGCAAGCAGTGAGAACTGCTGTAAAAGTCAGATGATCAAGTTTCTTCTCATCATCATCCTTCATCTGATGGAAAAGCTCAATTGCTTCACTGCAATATCCATGATTTGCATAGCCAAAAATCATGGAGTTCCAAGTAGCTGAGCTCCTTTCAGACATCCTGCAAAACAATACCCTTGCTTCATAAAAATACCCACATTTTGCATACATATCAACCAGAGCAGTCCTCACATACACATCCTTTTCAACTCCAATCACCAGGGCATGTCCATGGATCTCCTTCCCACGCCTCCCGTTCCCCACCGACGTGCAAGCAGGCAAAAGACTGCTGATTGTAGCAGAAGTTGGACAGAACCCAGCATTCAACATCCTTCTAAATGTACAAAAAGCCTCCTCATTTCTAAAGTTCTGCACAAACCCAGATATCACAGATGTCCAAGATACTACGTCTGGTTTGATCCCATTGGCTTCCATCTCTTTGAAAAGCTCACGAACCATCTCTTCCTCACCCATCTGGGAAAAACCAGTAACCAACGTGTTCCAAGTCACCAGATTGGGTTTTACACCAAATACTTGCATCTCCTCCACCAGATTCAGAGCTTCTTCTGCCAGCCCATGGTGGGCATAGCCTGAAACCATCGCATTCAATGCCACCAAATCCTTCCCTGCCATTGATTCGAACACTCGCCGAGCCTTCTCAACCTGCCCACTTTTTGCATACATATCTATCAACGCGCTGCAGACATAAGCATCGGATTCAAGCGAGTATTTGAGGATTAAGCCATGTAATTTTCTCCCTGTAGGGTTATCGGAGAGGTGACCGCAAGCTTTCAATACGCTGGGAATTATATACTCGCTAGGCCTCGACCCTCCTCTCTGCAGCTCACAGAATACACTCAGCGCTTCTGTATAAAACCCAGATCGAGCATAGGCGCCTATCAGGACAATCCACCGGCGGGGATTTGTTTGGGGAATTTTGTCGAACAGTATCCGGGCATCCTTGATCTTGCCGCAGGCGGCGTAGAACGCTATGAGCTTCGCAGCAAAATGTGTCAAACGGGCTAGTCCGTTGGTGATTAATCGAGCGTGAAGTAACCTCCCGAAGTTCAGTTCTCGGTCGCGCCCATACGTCTCGATGAGCTCAACATACGCATCGGACGAGGAAAGAAAACCACGGCGGATGGCCAGAAATCTGCTCGGAGCCCTGCGAAATGCGGCACCGCCGGCGAGAGAGTGCATCCCAGTGCAGAAGACGACGCCGATGGAAGCAGCGGGATATATGAAGGGTACGGTAAATGAGTAATTTTGTGTAAGAAAACTATTTAATCCAACGCAAAAAAGTGACACGGCATCGTATGAGGGCCACAAGCAACACCGAAGGGCGTATTTTAAGCAGGACAAAACCAAATCCGAAAGCCAAATGTCTCAACAGGAACCTCTGGTAAAATGAGAAGAAAAACAGATCGAGAGAGAAGAAAAAGGGAATCGCAGATTAGTTCACGAATATGCATGAATTAGCCACAGCGCAAAATTTCCCTTGTATGTCTGACGCCTTTTCAAGATCCATTTGTCATCCTCCTCCTACTTTCTTTTCACGAAATCATATAAAATCTTCAGTATCCATCCGCCGATTCTTCAGCTACCCGGTGTTCGCGCCTCAGAACTTCGAATCTGGTTACTTGACCTATCGGAGGAAGAGCCGCGTGAGCCTTGTGAGAGCGAGCCGCAGAGAGTCTCCGTACGAAGTGCTTGGCGTTTCTCCAACTGCAACTCCGAATGAAATTAAAAGGGCTTATCGGAAACTGGCTCTCAAGTATCATCCCGACGTCAATAAAGAGGTAATCGGGTAATTTCTATCCCTCTATCTTTGAGTTATGTTTTCTGGATTTTGCTTTTCTTAGGGTTATTGTTCTAATGGACGATATTCTGATGTAATCATGCAAGTGATATTCACTCTTAACTAGATTAATTCTTTTGGGCAGCCTTTGTATTCTGGCGAGAAATGTAGTCCAATCTGAATAGTGAACTATCTGACGTTTCTTTTAGCAAACTAAGTTGTCCAACTTGTTTTCCCACGAGTATTATTCTATTAAGACAACGACTGCAACCTCAAATGCTCTGTAGTTTATGAGAGATGGAAATTTGTGCACGAAGGTACAAAGTAGTAAAGTCGAGTTAAAAATATTGTCTTTTAATTTGAAAGGAAGAAAGACTAAGTGGGATAGATTCTAAGCTCGTGCACCTAATTCGATTTTGCTTCTGGTTATATATTTCATGTAGAGGCTGTATGCTATGAACTTTGAAAGACATCTCTAGCTTTTGAGTTTTTGAGTAATTTTTATGTTCTTCTGTTTCAGTTGTCTACGAACAGGTAGTGAAATTGACCATTCAATTGAGATTGCTCTTTTGATTTTCCATCTGAGATTGGGTTCGATTTTCATTTCATGCAACTAATCCCTTTGTTTTCTGTTGCTTTATTTAGCCTAATGCACAGGAGAACTTTATGCGCATTAAGCATGCATACAACACATTGCTGAATTCTGAATCTCAAAGGAAATATGACTATGGGAATCGTGGATCTGATTTTTCATACTCGTCAGTGCAACGAAACAGAAACTCCCAAGATGAAGAACCATTTTACGGACTTGGTAATCTCTTTAGGCTTTTAGCGTATTAACTTCTATCATTTTTGTAATTATCATATGCATG